ATAATTTATATATATTTTACAGCGCTTAGAGCCGACTTGTATAGGCGCTATATAAATCATATTATATTATTATATTATTATTATAATAGTTGACGAAGCTACTCCACTATCAATGACAGTACCAGCAACACCAGAAAGTCATGTACAAGGTACATTACCTGAACCTTCACTGATTTTTGAAATTCGGTAAAATTTTACTTGTCATTTAATGAAACATCAGTTTTTACTTCAAAATGATACATGTAGTTGTCTGTCATTATAGTAATATTCAGCTACCTGTATTAGCAGCATGCCACTGTTATGATTCAGATCTGAACTTTCCATAATTTACCAGATAAAGACCGCCAAGAAAGGCTTTTATCATAATGGCTCATTAATTTACAATAGTTTTATTTTAGAAAATAAGAAGTAAATTTTTATTCAATATTTTCGATATTGATTCTAGTATTTACATAGATAATTTTATTGTTAGATTATTATTGTACTTTCATATATCATTATATATATATTTTTTTTTTCTTCTTTATATTGTGTTTATTTTAGGGCTCCTTTTGATATCAGATTGCATTTTGTATATCTGACTGGATAACCCTGTGTAAATAAAGGTTTCTATCTATATTATTTCCCACTCATAAAAGGACCACAGTATGAAACAAAATTTGTCATTAAACGTGTCCCCATGACAATGCAATTATCTATTCATGGTTGTGACTCGGACAATATTGAACCAATCACCATTGTAGCAGTTTTAATTACGATCTTGTCCCACAATCAACTACACTGTACACAATATCTGTTTTAAAAAGTACTATAAAGAGTACTATAAGGATTACGAAGCAATTTTATTTTATTTTTTGCAGGACAGAAAACAATTGAAACAATTTATAATTAATTTTCTGAGATCAGTGTTTTAAATATTTATTTTTTCTAGCTAATTAGTTGAGCTTAAGGGGGGTAACTAAGGGGAGTCGGAACCATGAATTAGTTTTTGGTGCTAAGAGTATCATTTGTAATATATACAGTATGAGTGGCCGTGTTGTATCAGATATACAACCATGAGGCGTAGCCGAGTGATTGTATATCTGTTACAATACGGACACTCATACTGTATATGACTTATCAAACGTCTAGGTTAGTTCCTTTGTGTTTCGCTAAAATTTTCAAAATTAAAGTGAATTTGGCCAAGAAAATCCAACTTAAAGTTTATGCAAATGAACACAGTTTTGTATCAGATTTACAACACTCTCCACGGTCGTGATTTCTGTTGTGTTTTGCTCATGAATTCTTAATGAGTTTGATAAATACTTTTTACTGTTCTCTTCAGTTGCTTTACAGGTTCCCATGAATATTTCACCACGTGAACCAGTTCCTGATCATCAAGATACTAGATCATCTACCACTGTAAGTTCAAAATCCCTGATAAAAATGAATTGAATAATATTGGTGAATGAATATAAATAAAATAATGAGTACGCATTACATAATTGTAATGTTTTAAAATTTACTACATTATGAATTCAAAATTACAAAATTACTCGCTTTTTATCACTTTTGCCTATAAATTCCAAATTGTACTCAAGATTATGCGATATCCTATGCTAATAATTGTTTGGGGAATCACTAGTGGAGTAGCAGTTGTACACTCACGCCAAACTGTTGGAAGTCTTGGGTTGAAGTCTAGGACTCAATAATTAAGTGTCATGTCATTGGATTGTTAGGTATCTCCCTTGACTTGATGCGAGGTTTTTGTCTGAGTTCTTCAGTTATCCTCCCTCAAAACCCTACCCTAAATTCCTATTTGATCTGTGAATTATAAAGGTATGTTTCAGTGCATCAATGATTTTTTCTTGCAAAAGACTGCTTCTACGAGCATTGATTCACAGCCTCCAAGAGTGACACGAGGTAGAAAAAGAAAACAAGACAGGGTGTTGTCTGAGGAAAAGATGCACAAAAAAGATGAAGGTGATGGTGATGGTGATGATGATGACGATGCCCAATACTCAGGTAAATTACACACAGTGCATATTATAACAATACAAGAACAATAGGGAGGAGTTTGGAGAGTGAAAGATGCTTTGTTTTTGTTGCACTTACAAACTTTTGCCATGGTCGCGCGGTGCTTATGCTGGTTCGGAGCATTAKATTTCATTATATGACAATCAAAAATCTATTTTTGCACAGTGATTTCAAAAAAAAAATAGTGGCAGACCAATCACAATTGAGAATTTTTGATGGTCATATTTATATTTAGCATAATATTTAGCAATTATTTGCTGAAGGCGAAGTGAATATCAGGGAATATTTACCGAGATGCAAGTCTTCAAGTGGTGAGGTAAATATTTTCCATATTCACTGAGCCTGAGGTTAATAATTGTTTTAGCATATACCAACTTGTGTACAGAGTAACTTATTTTTATATACAATAATTCWATAAAAACAAACAAACAGAAACTTTTAGTTTGCGTGACAAATTCACAGAAAATGTTTAGCAAAATTTTTAGGCCATACTTTGTTGCCTTTTTAGTATTGATAGGAATARCATTTACTTTCATTTTTTCAATTTCCTGCAAAATGATTGCCAGAATGCCATTTTGATGCTGACTTAATATTCCGAGATTCAGAGGCGAATATTGTACAATATTCATCTCCAACTGACCAATGAGCGCGGGCGTTCTTAGGAAGTACACAAGTTGGTATATGCTAATTGAGCATATTTACTTAAGTTTTATTATCTTACCTTAGGCAATAATTTTGTTCGCATCTTCAATGCCRACCAAGGAAGAAAAGTTACAATGGGAGAAATCACTGCCCTTGATGTTGCACTCACAGCTATTGAAGAACTTGCCTTAGAGTACAGGTATGTATAATGCAGGAAAGAGGATTTATTATGAGAATCAACACACATGAAAACTGGCATTTGAAGATATATCGCATTACCCTTTTTGCAGTTGTCATGGATGGATCATTTCTGTATTGTGTCATGTTTTGTCTCCTTACTCTTCTTTCGTGTTCCGGCAATCCCCGAGTGCTTTATAACTGCACAAATGTCTTTAAATTAAATGAAAATTAAAGAACATAAAAGATTAAATTGCCCTATTTCACTATGACGTCACATCAAAAAGGATCATGGTCGTCGGAGGGGGTCAAATCAACGCAAATTCACCGAAAATTGTTCTAAAACCAGCAAATGCTCAGAATGTTTTATAATGTACATATTAACACATATTATATCTGAAAACCAGGCCATTTTAAGTTAAACTGTTTGGCTAGGAGCAAATTTTGTTGAATTTTCTATTGAATTTGGCAATTCTATCCCCCACATAAGCAAGCAGTGACATCATAGTGAATTAGGGCAATTGATTAAAGATGAGGAGTATATTTTGTCTAGCTTTTTTTTCTCAGAAAATAATGCAGTGCACAATATTGTAACTTGGTATTAAAAAATGTTTTCAAAAAAATGGATACTTTTAAATGTTTCTTGATTGCTTCTGTCATATTTTATTTTCAGAGAAGACGTTGATAGTGATGTTGCCAGACAGAGCATCAAAGATTTTTTTATTCATGTCAGAAAATCATTTTGTGAATGTGTGAGTTTAAATTTATATTGATTTTAATGTACTGTAAGTGCCTGACTGAGTGACTGAGTGAGTGACTGACTGACTGACTGAGTGCCTGACTGACTGACTGACTGACTGACTGACTGACTGACTGACTGACTGACTGACTGACTGACTGACTGACTGGCTGGCTGGCTGACTGGCTGACTGACTGGCTGACTGACTGACTGTACTGTACTGTATATCTGTCTGATGGACTGACTGACAGACTGACTGACTGACTGCCTGACTGTCTGATGGACTGACTGACTGACTGACTGTACTGTAAGTATATATCTGTCTGATGGACTGACTGACTGCCTGACTGACTGTACTGTAAGTATATATCTGTCTGATGGACTGACTGACTGACTGACTGGCTTGCTGAATGGTTCCTCAACATTGTTTATATGTATTTCAGATTGATATGCAGAAAGACTATCAAACACTGAAATCAGATTACAGAAAAGTAAGTAACTAGTGTCACTGAACTGTGTTACTCTTAAAATGTTGTTTGGTCTGATACAAAATTGAAATATTTGCTGAAGTTGATGTTGAATGTAATGTTTTATCATTTAGGAAATATTATTGAATTCAAACTAACCAATTTGATTTCAACAATTTAATTACAAAGTTTGTGACAACAAGATTTCTTCTACTCAACATTTCCAGGCTTCAGGCATCATTCTCAAGAGTGACAAAGCAATGAATTCTAGTTTTCTTATGACAATGTCAGTGAAAAATTATGTCAGCTAAATGTCCTATAAAGAAAAAGTATTGAATTCTCATTCATTTACATAAGATTTAAGTCAAAACTGTGCTTCTGTATTCAGGTAAACAGCAGAATCAAAAAGTTGAGAGGAGAATTGCTAGATGTGCAGAAGAGAAGAGCAAGGTGAGTGGCTATCGTTTACTAAATGCCTTGTGACATGGAAAAATTTCTCGTGCATCTTGTCTCACGAGAGAGAATATTGCAAGTCGTACAAGTGTTTCCATGTTTGATATCCCCTCAGATGACTTTTTTTTTTTTTTTTTGCTACACGAAAAGTAGAACCAGCTTCTAATTACCACCAAATATTGGGTTCATCTTTTATTGTTATATTTTACAAGATTATCATGAACATTGATCATGACTTCCTGGTCTAGCTATGGTCAAACTTCCTTTGTTTATCATGACTTACACTTTATTGTTTGTACCCATTATCTTGGTTTGAATATACTTTTTTTTTACTTTGGCAGGCCTTTAAAAAAGTTATCACTATTCACTACTGCGAGTACATGTACAGCAGTGTTGCATTTCAGGGGGGTTGAACTGAATACAATGAGACCACTATACAGTCCATGTAGGAAACCGGAGCACAGCTTTAATCAGTTTAAATTAATTAAGGTCTGTTAGAGCTGGTGGTGATTCCTAATGTTGGGTGTTTTTTCAGAGTACGAGGAGAACTAGAGAAATATGAAAAAGAAGAAAAGGAAAGAGCARAAAATAACCAGGTTTGTAGGGGAAAACGCTCTAAGCACAGAAGAGACTGACAATTATACAAACAGCATTACTAATACCCCATTCACACCAAGG